GCAACCCGCATAATTGCATGCATCATCGTCTTGCAACAAGTTTTTATAAATCGACTTCAGCACTTCAGCAGAAGAAGAAAGGTTCGAATAAACGTGCTGCATCGTTAATATACTGCTTTGTCGAAAACTTCGCTCCATGTCTGGGTTGTGAGAAGGAAATGTTTAGAGTAGACTGTGTGATCAATCAATTTTGCCTGAGTGGGCATTTGTAATAAAATCATGCATCTCAACTTTCCCCTCACCAATTACCCGGGGTTTTTATGACTCAAGTACCAAACCAAGAAATGATCAGATTCTGCACCGGTCTGTCAAGACAAATTAAAATTAGGTTTTCCTCAAAGCAGTGGCTACAAACATATTATTCAAGTTTTCTGTGGTTCAATGTCGCGCCTTCCATACAACTACTATGTTTCCTGCCATATCTGTTCAGAGTTAGGCCAGACTGCGCGGCGTATGCTGCGTACGCAGCGTACGCTCACGTGTATAAAGATATGGAGCGCACGCCGTGTATGCCGCGCAGTCTAGCCTAACCGTCATGTTCTGCTTGTCTAGCAGGAGGAAACAAGCAACCAACTACCTTTTGTTTAGTCTGTTTGTGTGACTACAAGATAATAAAATAGTACCCTTCTTCCTGTTCCACTTCTAGAAAGGTTTTCCCTGCTCTTTTTCCTGTTTCGAAAATAGCATGCTCACTCCCCTGCACAGGCTTCATCTGCCCACCAAAGCTTTCAAAAAGTCCAAATAGGAGCAATAATTGCGGTAGATGATCACTTTACGCTCCTTTACGTCGCAACTGAAACACAAAGTTTGCTGAAAAATCGGTAGATTAAAAATGGGAAGTTTGCACGAGAGTTTTGAAATTTTGAAAATAAATATGTAGGCAGCTGAATAAAGGATCGAATCACGCCAATTGATAGCAAGGATAGTTGTACATGACACCTGTCCTGCAGTAGTACGTGCATGCAAAGTTTAGTTAAACAGCACATACATACACATAAGTATGCATACATACAAAAGTTCCCTAATCATTATTAAATCTGATGCACTGCTGCTTCGTAAGTGCGTTAAAAAATTATAACTTTCAATAAATGAAAAAATCCTCTTTTTGCTTGCGAAATTTTATTTAACACGTTTCGGACCGGTGCTGCACATGGTGCAGCACGCGGCTTTGAAGGACCTTTTCAGCGTTTACAAGAAGTTTTTTTTGTTCAAGGTTATCAAATTAAAGGCCTAAGCTCCTCTTTTTCAAAAAGGTCTGCAGAGCTGCGCCATCGATATTTGTTTAGGAGATATGAGGACAAATCAAACATCAGTTGCAACGAAGTGCGGCAACGCGAACGACGCATGCGACGTCGCAACTTTTCTTTGCTTCGATTTCAAAGAGAAAAATCGTAGTTTCAATGATAATGTGTACCGTGTACAATACAAATATATTTTTGGATAGTATCGGAAACTGAGTTCTTGTTCCTCTCTTTCAAGAAAGCATAGAAGTCCTTCTGAAATGACAAATTCAAACACTTCGAATTCACTCAGAACGTTGGATATGGAGCTTATCTGACATGCTGATTACAGATGTAGCACCAGTCTACGAAATAAGGGCCCTTTGTTGGCTAATGGCTGAAAGTGCACTGTTTTCCGCCGCGCGGTCCGAAACGTGTCAAGAATAATCAAACATTCAAGTGGCTTAGTAGTAGAAGGTTTTACAAACGAATTGCATCACTGCATGTAATTTAATTGCAGTGTAATTTTTATAGCATAAACAACCGTTCAAAATGCTCAGTTTGAGCATTCCTCTCATAATCTGGGTTTACCAACTCCTTTAATTTTAGAGTCATCCTTCATACAACGGATCTAGTCATTTATGCTACTTTCAATGCTTCGGTCGAATCTGGTTGCGACATTATGCACACGAGGGTTGAGTGAGTTTTTCAAAAATAAAGTTTGTCTCAATAGGAATTACGTCGGAGCGCTGGCTCAGCACTTGGGGCTTGCATTGCATGTGCGTACGCGAAGTACCATCGGAGAGATCGAAGAATATAAGGAAAAAAGACAGATCCTATTAGGACTAGTAGTCATAGCAAAACGTAGACGTGACGCAAAACCAGCGATATCGATTCGCACCTTGCTACTTTTTGCGCAATTTCGACATATATGTAGAGGAAGCTAAAGAGCAGCCAAGTTGCATTGGAGACTGTTGTTGGAGTCATCTCATCATGTCATTTAGTGGAATTCGAATGTGTCTATAGTTTTAGTTGAAAAGATGTATTTGTCGTGGAAAAAAGTTTGAGAAGAGAGTTTAATGTCAGTGACTTATCAACAGATATCAATCGAATTCTGAAACCATGAGTGGCCCCAGCTTTTCAAATCTCTGCACATATCAAACACGTATTGTTTGTCTGACGCTTGACACCGTCTTTCCTGTCTGCTGAGCACCTTTAAGCGCCGAGTTATAAACGTTTTGGATCGCAAATAAACTTGCAACTATAACAATATTATCCAAAACCGTTTAGATGGGAAAGGACAAAAGTACTTGAAACAAATTTACCGTAACTGGATTAGGGGTAGTCACTGACGAGGATAACAGTGATTATTGAGCACGGAAGCGATTAACATCTATATCTCCAAAGACAAGACATGATCTAGTATGTAACGCTTAGGCCCCCGCCAGAGTGCCGAAGCCACGCCAGCGCTACGCCAGCGCCGAGCTGTCTCGTTTGTTTGGGGCGGGGCTAGCTGACCCTGTGCGGGCAAGGGCTACCGGAACTTCTGGCAGATTCGATCAATTGTCGGCGCATCTACCTGGCTGAGAACTAGGTCAGCTAGCCCCGCCTCAACTAAACACACGTGTATCGATCGAAACGGCGCCGGGGCAGCTCGGCGCTGGCTCGGCGCCGGCGCAGCGCTGGCGTGTCTTCGGCACTCTGGCGGGAGCCTTAGCAATTGAGAAGTAGCAAGCTACACTTCTATAATTGTGATAAACTGAAAGATCGTAAACCTTGGATCGAAATTCAGTTGTAGTAATGAGATTTGCATGTGAAATCTTCGCCTAGCAGATAGCAACAAATTTCATCGTTCTTATGCGAGGGGATAAATTCACCAATTTGACTTTCGCTTTCTGCTTTTCATTCACTAGGATTTGAGACGCAGCTAAGCGTAGAAATCTGATAATATTGCCTTTGCTTCAATAAGCGCCACAACACGTACATCTACATCATCATCCAAAGTTCTCTACTTTAGATGCTTCATCCTTCGCCTACCTTTCAACGTAGGGTTGGTTGTAGCAAACTGCTCTGCTATTTTTGTTTCTATAGAACGCTTAATAGCTACTTTGTATACAAGAAGCTATGAACGAGGTTATCGAAGCATAGGTCACTATTTGTTGTGCGCACAAGTAAGCTTTTACAACGTAACTTTACAAATCTACCGTGATTATTAAGGTGATCGTTAGCGGCTGCCTTCTTTGCATAATATATTCGCAAACACGACTCGACAGTTCTCCTTTGATTTATTGCCAGACCACATCTACTTCTAATTACATGTGGTCTATCTACCCTTTAGGCTTTCAGTTTCTGCTGCAGATCCTATCCGCTTTACTGTTTGAGTTGACAAGCAGGAAAAACAAGGTGAGGTATTTGCAATTTATGAGCTTTTCAATATGAGCACCCAGCTTGGCTTTTCTGAACACCTCAAGCAAAGGCTTTCCAAAAATTAAGCAGTAAGCCAAAATTCCGACACGAGTTGGACAGAAAAATTATCATAAAGAGCTGTGCACATTGCACACAGATTGCTTGCTTGGGAAATTGGGAGACTTTGCAGCTACATAAGGCTGCGTTCATACTGATTACGAAATCCGGGAACAGTTCCAGCATAGTGCTCGAACTGAGCGTTGTGCTGGGAGTGTTCCCGGACTTCGGGATCAGTATGAACGCAGCCTAAGCCTTTGAGGCAGCGCGAAAATCAAGACCTTTAAAATGAAGTGGATGCACAAAGCGGATATTTAGAGTTTAGCATGCCAACCCCGCAGCGAAATTCACTTTGTGCGGAAAAATGTAACTATCACACAAGGTTTTCAAGCAACAGTCACTGAGTCTAATCACGAAGCTTCGTCGGCTGTATAAGCGTTTGATATCTCAACAAAAAGTATTCAACAAAATGCGTAAAGACGATTCTATCCAAACTCTCGCCTACTTCTGGACTTCTTCGACTTCATAATCATAATGCTACAAAAAAGATTGCTCATCAGATTATACAGTAAACTGCCAAAACCGCACCGTTTAGAATGATTAATTTTTCAGACTAGTGAATCAGTGATCTAAAGATGCCTTTTGAAAGAGCGTTCGCTTCGGGACTCGCCGCGGCTTCCCGCTATTGGAAGATTTTGGAGTTGAGCTAACGATTATATATCAGATTTGTTACAGTTGGCAATAAGATGGTTTTCCGCGGAGAATGTGCTACGCATTCCCAGTACACTTTGTCAGTGTCGATTAGCTGGAAGCTTTTTATGATAGATGTAACATTCAAAAAGCTGCTTTTCTTATACCTAGGGAATGTTTACGCTTTGAAATTTGTACAGTCGGATTCATCCCGGATTAGGTGGAACATTCTACAGCAGAGGCGGGTGCGCACCACTGGAGGCTTCGCGAACGCATAACACTGGCATTTTGCCAAGCGAAAACTGGGAAGAACGAAGAGACGCAGACCTCGCTTCTAAGGCTGCGTTCATACTGATCCCGAAGTCCAGGAATAGTTCCAGCACAATGCTCAATTCGAGGGTTGTGTTGAAACTGTTCCCGAACTTCCAGATCAGTATGAACGCAGCCTAAGCACGATATGAATAGCCGCGAAACCGGAGCGAGCCGTTGCAGGCCGAAGCCCGCCAATCCAATTTCCACCTGAAGCGGGTAGAAACTTATTGTACATTGCATTGATGATGTTTTTAGCTTTGCATGTATGTTGAACTCAATTTCGTGTTTTCAATAATTCAAGTGTCAGTACTCTGCATGGAAACTTTTCAGATTCAAACTTATTACTCTTCAACAACTTCAAGAAATGACACGCTGTCAGGGAGGTATCAACTCGAGGAAAACTTGTGGTAATTTTTTCACCGTCAGTGCAGTTAAACACAGTGATGAAAAATGCAAGAGGCAATCAAAAGACCTTGCTTGTTACGAAGTGAATGAATTGTTTTAAGGACTATTCGAGCGCTTAGAGCCTACGTTTATTTAAACGCAACAATCACAGCTGCGTACATGATTGCTCTAATGATTATTCTCTTCACAAACGAACTGTACTCGAGGTCAACTTATTACTCGCTAATTGAAGGTACAAGCCTTTACATATAGCAGCACTTGCTGTGATCCAATATTCTTTTAGTCAGCTTCACTTCCAGGTTTTAACGCTATATATGTATATGCATTGGCACTACCTTTAGTGTTGTGGTACCATCGTAAAGATGTGAAACGTCAGATACGTATAGCTATTCGTCGTGACATCTCCACCAGTGCCAATCAAGTTTTCAAGGATCTTCAGTCCCATTGGGATTCATATACCACCGAACCTAAGACTAAGACCAGCGTTGCAGCTGTTCAATACATTGATCATAGATGATATCAGTTCAAGTGGCAACGTTGATCCAATGTTGGCCATTAGGCAAACATTGTAGCCCTTCAAATGAACATATCGTCATTGCGAACAGTGTGTACTGATTTTCGTTGGAAAAATACCGCTGTTAACTGCGTCAGCAACGTTGATGTTTGATTTTTTCTTCTTATAAAGAAGTTTGAATGTATTATTTAAACTGCAATGAGCTAAGCAATGTTAAATTCCGGATTCTAACAAATTTACAGCTTCGATGATATTAGGTCGGTGGTTATTAGTCTCTGAATCTTCATATTTTGAATCGCTCATTTACCTTCTAAAGTTAGTGACGGTAATAACTGAATGATGAAACCTCAGTATTTTGAAGATTTCGCAGTGTTTGGTATACTAAGAGGCATGCAGTTCTTTCACAACTCAAGACTTTCAAAAAATTATTTAGCAAAATGTAAATGAGTAGCTAGAAAAACAAGGAATATGCCTTCCTTTGGCGAAAGGTCTTTCCTATTTGCTAGCTGTCACAGCCTCGTCAAAAGTTCCGAATAAATTTGAAAATTATCGGAAGGACATGGTGAAAACGAAGTATTGTGATTTCCAGCGATTATCTCAGCACTCTCTCAACGGATCACAGTGGCAGATATACATCTAAAAGTGTTTGTTCATCTTTACTGTACCGGCTTTGCGATTCAATTCAAAAACTGACAAAACTTTTGCATCGACCACAATACATAAGTTAAGATCGTTGTGATATCGTTACATTGATATGTAATATCGATTGTCCTTCATAAACACGACGGAGGGAATAATCAGGGAATTTTCCAAAGCTATTCATGTACTTACTGAGACACGTAACGAGTAATTTGTTTTCGCACAAACTGATTTATTTTCTCAATAACTGTCAAGCATGCATTTTAAAAACGTTTTCGTTGGGAGGAAAGGGGATTTCACCGGCGCCATCCTTCTTCGTCTAAAAAGATTTCAATGATCCTTATAGTCCTTGTTGCACTCGAGACTTGAGTGTTCAAATATTTACAGTTTCCAAAGCAGGATCAGTGATACGGTAAATTGCATTAGCGCTTCGCATCACACATGTATTGGGTCAATGCTTTTTTGGTATTCCTCGCTTTCGTATCTTTTCTCTAAAACCTACAAATATGAAATATGTGGACCCCTTATGTATCTTTTGTTTCAACTGGAATGGCGAGTGAAAGGCGACCGCGTTGCGCACGCGACGCAGTCTCTCTTAAGGGCGCGCTTTCTAATCTTTTCCTAGCCTCAAAGGAGCGTCCCGGCAAAAAGACAGGTGCTGGGTTTTCGTGGCGATGTTAAAGTAGACCCCCTATCTAGGCGATGACTGAAGTGCATAGCATACACAGTCATGAGGGCAGGGTCCCGCAGCGACTCTGCGTCTCAACCCTGCATGCATCTCGTACTCGCCCGAGCTTACCGTAAGATCCGGGCCACTTGAGGGGTGATCTGTAGACTTCGTAGACACCCTTTCGCGTTGCAAACTTCTGTCGTCGCTTAGTTAGGGGTTCTATTGTTACATTACATTATACCAGAGCCAGGTACCCCCAATCCGGTGGGACGCTGCTTTTAATTAGGTCTCGAAGCCCCGCTTTCCATCCGCCGTTGAATCAAAGGGTGAAAAGTAGGACGTACGCTTGCAAATGTGTTCCAAACAGATTTCGAAGTTGCCAATTTTTTGGGAGAAACCTATAAATTCAATTCAAACACTTTCTCGTGGTTTCCTGTAAAGATTATCTGCATCATAATGCTACATAGAACCGCAAAAAATCACACATTTTCGTAGACGAATGCTGCACTGAAGATTGAAATAAAGCACAATTTCTACTCGAACATTAACGAAATCAAGACATGAATTGACAATAGTAATGATAATATTCAGGTTGGCAAGAAATGTTGCACCACTTCCAGTGACACAAAGTTTTTAAATGTTTATTTGCAGGTAATTTAAAAATAGTATGACCTATAAAAGACAGAATTTGTGAATCACCTCCGTATTTTACGTGACATTTCTAATCTTTTAATCATTAAAGGGTCCGCCTTGAATATCCTCTGCGGGCATGCGCAAGCGCATTCTACTTTGAAGTGCGTGCGCGGTCTTTACAATAAACCCCGCTGATCAGCCGATTACCAATCTAGTACTTTGTAAAAGCTTGGTTGGCACGAGAGAGGGATCGAACCCTGGTCCCACCTAGTCATAGCTGCCTTCATGGCACTACGCCACTCCTTCCCTCCCGAGCCTTCATTTGCACAATTCTGTTGCTAATGATTTGGGCAGAACTGTTTGGAGTTGTGCAAAAATTTACTGACCAAAAGCGCAAATGTAAGTAGTCAATTGGAACCAGCGCGCTGGAACCGAATTAGCACAGAAAACTTTGCAAACATTTGCATTAATGCCGCAATGGACTGAAAAGCTAGACTTGTACACAAGCCCGTCAATTTTGAAGTGTTTCGCAAAAACAAAAAGACCATTATTCAAACTTCGGCTAGCTATATCCTATGGTAATTTGCTTTCTTGTCACTAAATGTAGTGCCAGAACCTTATTGCTATTTTGTCTTGTCCATAGAAAAATGCGCAATTAAGCTGCTTATATGCGATTAATTGTTGCAATCAATAGCATAATTAGTACCTAATATGTCTCTTAATGCTCAATGTCGTAATCACAACTTCATTTAGACTGCTACTGTAGACCAGTGCTCCAATGAACATAATTTTATGATGTTTTGTGCAGTCAACAGCTTGGCGGTGCTCATAAAAAGCTGTTGAACTGCTGCTGTCGAAATTACATGGGACTTCTATTACTTCCTTGCCTATGCATATGTATAATGTTGTGTCAATAAACTCCTAGTCTGAACTTTTCGGATTTATGTGTATCATCATACATTTTACAACATAGAATTACCCCAAACATACGGTTTTGGCTAGAAAATGAAATTGACTCTGCATGATTTCAAGCTTTTTTATTGGACGATTGGTAATTTCTTATGGAAGCTGATTTATGATACGTGACTCACGCAAAGTAATAAAAGATTTCAAGAGGACCGTACGATTGCTGCTAATGACGATTCGCGCCGTAACATTCGCTGTAATTACAAGCTCTGCTGAAAGTGTCGAGGTCATAGCTTTTTCTTTATAAGATTGGAGCTACAAATTGATTTAGACAGTTCCTTTTTTTGACTAGAAGCTTGAACTTTTCTATTTCCGATATACAGACAGGTTGGAATAACATTTTGAGTACATCTTACTTCTAAGCTTCGTAAAGCTTACTACAGCGGCATTGCTAGAAATTGCAATTCATTTTCTAGTCGTCTAGGCTCGAGTGAAGTAATTTTTGCTTCCAAATCACATTTTCCTTTAAAACTGTCGTATTGAGTTGAAATCAGCGCAATACGCCTTGGTGAAGCAGAACCTAGCGGTTATTCCACAAACAAAAATTGACATGTGGAAGTGAATATAAAACAAAACACAACATGCGCATGAATGCACAAGGAACTCTCCCTTCTATAAAACTTAGTGATTAAATGTAAAAATGAAGGTAACTATGATATCAGAAACTTTTTTGCACTTTTCTTTTTGACCTAAGCGTTAAAAAACTATTGTAATTGGCTACATATGTGCGCTCTACATATGAAATCAAGCAGAAATTTCAGAGATAATCTACAAACATTTTACGAGTTTGATTCAGTCAGCTGCTTGTTCGCCATCCTCATAAGATTGATTTTTTGTTATTACTTTTTGTCATTCTATTTAAGTAAAATCCCTCTTGCGTCCGTCTTCTTTAGCATATATGCAGACATTAACCGTGTGTTTAGAAAACTTCGAAATGGTAATTTTGGATTCGAAATTGTGTGAGACTATGCTCGCTTTGTCTAAGTCTCCAATTTTGATTTCTGTCCTAGCTTTATGTGACTTATGTTGTATCGTAGCTGCTCCGCTACTAAGCTACTGGCTAGTACGAATATGGAAAGTGAAACTGATGCATTACAACTCTAGAATGCTTCTTTGCTTCCATATCGCTTGCCTACTTCTCCACGTGCTCGGCCGGTAAGTTGTGAAGCAATCATCACAAGTTCATTAAATTACAAGAATTCTTGAGATCAAGATATAAAGATGTTGCTAAAGGATGTCAAAATTGTGATTTAAACTATGTCAATGAAAACTGTTGCAGAGCATTTCTCCATAGCACGGATCTGATAATCTTTGCTACCTCATCCAGAATCTGCGATGTTGTGCACACCAGAACCCAGTGAGTAAGAAGAAATTATTAGGTTGGTGCAAAAGTAATGCGCGTTTTGCGAGTTCTCACTTTAACGTGCCATAACTTTCTAAAAAATCCATATTTTTCAGTGCTGCAAAGTTCATCAGAGGCACCAAGCCTCTCTCTATACAGCGCACATTAACTTATGTTAACATCGCAAATCGATGGAAAAATATGTATTGATAAACAAAAAAAAATTTATTTCGGAAACCTCGTTTTTAACTGATCATAACTTCCTTCAAGATTTATCGGTATAAATGATAAGTTGACTGTCTTGTAGCGGCAAGCCAGTAGTACAAAAAAAGTACAAAAGGGCTCAAATAAAGGATATTTGCGAAAGGGAAAAAAATAATAATCGAAATTGTCCGCTTTTTTCGATATTTTTTCGTAGCCCTCAAAATCCAAAAATATAGAGATTTTTAATTTTCTATGTACTGAACAGCTTCCACATTTCTGCAAAAACTGTCAATAGGAGGCCCACCCTTACAGAAATGAGCAAAACTTTGGCGATTGTCCTCTTCAAAGGAAATCTATGGGTCACAGAATGGCCAAAACCATCACTCATGTTGAGGAGCCGACATCTCAGTCTAAGTAATTTCTAGGAAAACATTAAAGAGTGCATAACGTAGAAAATTTCTACTACACACAGTAATCAAATTTTCAAAAAAATGCCTTTACTCGCGCTTGAAATCTGGCCGAAAAAGTAAGCACAATGAAATTCTGGTTTTGACTGCGGTTGTATGAAGCTCTATAAGTTTTAAACGAATGAGGCTAGAAGCTTCTTTCAACCATCGTTGAATAGAGCGTGAAAGAAGCTTCTTAACAGTGTGCTGGTTACGTTTCATAAAAGAAACTTCGATGGAGAAAAGCTATCTTGAAACAAAACGAAGCTATCTTGAAACAAAGCTAGAAAAACGCGCATTACTTTTGCATCAACCTAATAGATATTTCAGTTTATATGTTTGCTTTAAAAATTCTTCCGTTTTTGCCAAATCAAAGAAAAAGCCTAATCCCGCAAAAAGTAACTGAAGATTCAGTGTTTGATGCACTATTGCTTTTTTCTGTTGGGCAAGTTTCGAAGCTGAACGTTTAGAGAGTCTAGAAGATTGCAGACATTTGTTATTCCAACCACTACAATATTAAAATTTGGTAAAGTTCTGTATGGGACCAGATTATCAAACTGTTTGAAATGACAAGTAGAGCACAACTCCTCAAGCCATTCCGAAGATTTCAAATTATTTTAGAGAAAAATTACTGAACCGCGAAGAATAACAAGAAATTTTTAGTTGTGGTTAAAACTAACTTATTTTCTCAAATTTTATTAAGTTAAAACTCACATGATCTTTTATTCAAAATGGTGTTGCAATTGAATCAACAGCAAGTCATGCTAACCGTTTATAAACGAGACGCAATTGACGTAAACGGATTTCCGATATGATTTCCTTTTTCTAGGTGTTTTTTTCTTCGCTTGCCCTTCAATGTAGCCATGTTTGCGGCAAACTGTTCGGCTATCTTTGCTTCAATCGAACGTTTGATAGCAACGCTAAACATCCGAAACTATGAAAAAGGTTTTCGAAATGTTGGTCACTATTTGTTATTGTCACAGGTGAGTAATCAAATTCGCAGATAAAGCTGCAGTGTTCCTTTCTTTAAGATTATCATGAGCGCTTGCCTTCTTGGCATCATGTACTCCCAAACTCGGCTGGACGACACTCCTTTGATTTACTGTCAAACTACTTCACCAACGAATTACATGTGGACTGTCTACCCTTTTGCATTCCAAATGATTCTACAGATCCTATCTGTGCTGTTATTTGAAGTGGCTGACAGAAAAAACAAGGTAAAATAAAAACTTTGCAGTACGGTAGTATGCCGATGATTTTTTCAAATATAATGTGAAACATTTCGGCAAAAAAACTCTAACTCTGAGGGCAACATTCATTACTTTCACTAAAAACATACCGAAAAGGAGTGCATTTTTTTAAAAACCGCATTTTCATGCTTTTTATATGATCCTCTAGTGATTCTTTGCAAACGAGGTTTTTTTCCGGTCAAAATCATTTTCTTTTCTTTACAGCTACCGAAGACATTCCAGAGTTGTGTTAATTATCTAACCCAACTTGCCGAGCACGCTTTTGGCAAGGCGGAATAAAATGGGGTACGAAAGCGTGATGACGGAGTGCATTACATACATTTGTTACAACTTATGTGGCAATAAGTTGTAACAAATGAAAGTATGAGTATGCAAATCAGGTGTGGAACCCCTCTCTGGTGAAGCACAAACAGTCTCTGGAGAACGTTCAGAAAGTTTTCACACAACTTCTGTTTTACCGTTGCTTTCCCAATCCAAAATATCCCCAATCACTTCCTAATTATGAAGAACGCTTGAAAAAACTTGGTCTGAAAAGCCTCTCTTACCGTAGAGTTGAACACGACCTTGTACTTGCTTTCAGGATTTTCAAAGGGGAGACCATATTAAGGCCTTCCAAGTACTGGGTATTCAGACCCACATATGGAAGGATCAGTTGTTTTTCTATTTATCATCAGCGAATCGGTGGGCGGAAGAAATCAACGTTATCAAACTACGACTTTTTCCAACGTGTGATAAACCTGATACAAAAACTACCTAATGAAGTTCTTTCATGCACTAATAGCAACTCTTTCCAAAATAAACTAAAAACACTGAGATTAAACGAAATCTTTACAGATAGTGCTAGTCCGACATCTGTTTTTCCATGATGAGGTGGCTACGTGCGATTGATGTGCGATTGAATTTTTGAATGGACTTCAAATTAGACCAAATACGGCCATTGATACTTGTCTTTCTATTATTTGCTTTCTACATTTCCTACTAACCCATATCATGTCATCATGTTAGTGCAGGTCTGAACAACGATTGCTTCCTTTCAATCAGCAAAGCTTGCTGACTTGCTCTAGTTGAGTTAATAAGTGGAATTCTATCGATATTCTCTCGGAGCATTGGTCTCTCCCCGGAATCATTTGGGCAAGGTTATTTGCTACTCTACCGACCAAGCCTTGCTTTGCTAACTTTACTACTTCAAGAGCATTTTGCTAGCAAGCGAGTAGGCGTGAACACCACCTCCACAGCTTTCAACAACTTGCTGATCTTCTCGATCACATACGATTCATTACAACCCTCCATATTACTCAAGATTGATCTTGAGTTATTAAGCTCGTCCTACTTGCCTCATATGGTGAGAGTATATCCACCATACAAACCTAGGCTATAAAATATCTTAGAGAGTTTTGCTGGCAATAATGGGGGCATGGGTACCATCTCCATGATCACATCTTTAGACTCTGACAAGTGTAATCTAGAGCAGTCACATACAAGCTCAGTCAACATATAATTCTTAACCAATTTGAAGTTTGGACCTAATCTTCATGGTAGACTTTGATTGCGGTTGTAAGAATAACTCATGTTCTTTTTTGTTCTTTTTGTAAGGAACGCCAAGAGCGTATTGAATAAATAAATAAATAAATAAAATAATAGTTGGTAAGTTTTGTTAGGTGGGGGGATGAGGGGTAAGGGGAATGTAGGTACGACAAAGTTGTTTGAATGATGGGCGGATACTTGTCCAAGAGGAATTTATACACGACTAATCTGTTTTATAAAAATTTGGTTTCGCCGATTAGTCTTTGACAACGTAGTAGCAGTTGCCACTGAAGTGGCGACTGTTACCTCGCCACATGCAGTGAATTCTTAGTATATGTAGCTGCGTCATCACTGCTCCATTTAAGCGCTATGAAGCCCCTAAAGGCAATTTCCGATTTTTGTTCTTATAAAGGATCCGCTCTGCAATCATTGAAGACGAATTTGAGAACACTGAGTGAGGCCGTTCAAGATATATCCCGTTTTTGAGAACTATTACAGGCAAATTTTTGAAGTGCAAAAGATTCTCTATTTGAGTTGTTTGTTGCTTAGAGATTGAAAATATGTCGCAATATTAAAGCTTGACATAATGATAATTTCGATAGGAAGCGATTTTATAGCAACGCGCAAACACTGCGATAAGCGCCCTTTGTTTGCGGTATAACAAGTTTGGTTTTTAAAGATTCGTATTTACGTATGCAATTTCATCATGGAATCATTAGTCATATACCTTGAGATATTTAGATATGTTCGCTATCAAATGCTCGGAGGTCTGGTACGCTGTCTGGAAAGTTCCAGCTTGAGGAGAACTTGTGGTGATTTTGTATCATTCATCTCATCTGGAACACTAGAGTTGTCTCAATTCGTTATTTAAAGGACTATACGAACGCTGAAAGCTTACGTGTACTTGAATTCATGTATCACAGCAACGTATCTAATCACTATGTGCATTATCCTCTTCAAAAATGAGTTACTCACAAGGCCTACTTATTATTCTCTCATAGAAGGTGACTCCAAGTGGCAGAGCTTGTCATTATCTACCAAATGTTCCAATATCTGACCTTTCTAGGGACAAGCGGGATGTATCTCTATTCCTTGGCATTACCACTGTTACTGTGGTACACTCGCAAAGATGTCAAGAATGAAATTCGTTCAGCTGTCAATCAGGCAGCCTCTACAAACTCTGAACAACTTTTTAGAGAGCTTCAGTTGTCTTGGAGCTCACATTGGAACATTAGAAGTGTCAGTCACAGAAATTACTAATTCATACTGAAGACGCAACAATAATTCGAAGGGAAAAAAATAACTGCTGAAAAAGGGGCAGAGTAGAAAAAGAACTTTTGAAAAGTTTGAAAAGTGTTTTAGAGAATGTAGTACACTTTCTGTGAGAATCATCATAGACACAAATTTTCCAGCCTTTTTCTCAAAATATATTTGATTTGAAATCAGAGCATAACACAATATTTCCGATTGTATCCTCTCTCGACACATAATCTGTAATCTCTTGAATTCCTAATAAACGCTGTACTGTTGTCGTCCATAGTTCAATCATATAAGGCCTTGGGCATACCTCACGCGAGTTCAGAGCAGGGTCAAGCTTGTGATGCGACTGCCGCAACGGGGGGTCGTAAAGAGGGTACTAAGGTGGGGGGGGGGATCGTAAAGAGGAGGTAGTCAGACTAAAATACTCTAAGCTTAAATGGGAATTGAAAAGCAGATAATTAGTTATGTTCCTTACAATAAATCTACAAAAAAAAGTGGAAATCAAAATAAAAAGGATAAAAAATCTGTAAAAATTCTCAAAGAAAAACATTTATAAGAGCTCAAAACACTTTTGAAGGATGTATGAGTCGATAAAAATGCTAAATGTACCGATTGCCTCGGAAATCTTGCTTCTGAAGCTTTCCTGAATTCTCACACACTCAACCAAAGCGAATATCTTTACCAGCTGTGACAATCATGAATTTCTAAATCTTTTTTAATGTTTTTCATGGACATATATGATTTATCTGTACTTTGGAGATGCTCTGCTATATCAATGCAAAATTTGGTGTCATTTTGTTGACTGTGAATTTTCTTATGATTTTATGTATGGTAGCAAAAAATAAGAAAAGGGGGCCGTATCTGCACCTCATCTAAATTTCTCCGGAGCTATCAAAGCTTGTTGGCTGCAATTCTGCTGTGCTGTAATATGGGGCCATCCTCCTACTTTTTCTCATGAGATTGCAGGCTGTTTATAACTTTTCTGGTAAGTTACAAAATTTTAAGCTCAAAAATCCCAGTTTTTGCTTTTTAGGATCGCATCTAAATTTGCGAGAGTCGCATCTAAATTCTTTCGAGCTTAGTGCTTTTTAAGGGCTGAAACTTTTTCTATACAGTTGCAGCGGTAGAATTTGTCCAAAATTGCGGGATTGTCGGGATTCGCGGGATTCGCGACTTCGCGGGATTTGCGGGATTGTCGCGATTCGCGGGATTGTCGGGATCCGCGGGATTCGCGGGATTCGCGACTTCGCGGGATTTGCGGGATTCGCGGGATTTGCGGGATAAGCGGGATTTAGCTATAACTTCTTTTAAAACAGCTTTATTTGTAATCTGCGTGAAGATTTGGCTTCAGCTTGATGAGACGAATCTTCTGGTATACAATATGTCCGTAATTTATTGTGACACGGTAGACATATGGTGATACCTTGTTGTTTTCTATGTTAAGGCTTTTGTGGACATCAATCACCGTGTAAATCGCGAATAGGAGGTTCTGGTACTAAGTTCCCATTATCGAAAACTATCGCGAAAAAATGGGCAGTTTTATTTACCCTTATCACTGATATAAGCATTTTATCATTTATCACTGATAATATCATATTTTTGGATCATTTTTGGCACATGGTAAGAAAAGTAGTGTAGGAAACGCTGTGTGAATTTCTATCGCTCTTTCTCTCATTATAAGTGATCTACAGGATTTCCTAGTTCTATTTTTTGGTCAATTGGTAGATCCCTCGCTGCAGCAATCGATCGATTTCTGATCGACACATGTCATTGCTGCCAGTTCTTACCTGAAATGGCATTTTCGCTTCAACTCGCTTCACGCCGATGGGCTGAAATTCTGCACCTATATGGAAGATGAACGTGGGAATCGACCGCGTGAATTTAAGCCAGTCTTATCTGTCGTTATCATTGATATCACCATTTTATCATTTATCACTGATGATATCACAAAATTGGATCATTTTTGACATACAGTAAGGAATGTACTTTAGGAAACGCTGTGCGAGTTTTTACCGCTCTATCTCTTATAGAATGTGATCTACAGGCTTTTTCGGTTCAACTGCGTATTCGGTGCAGTAGATAGATGCTCTTTCAAAAAAATTCACCGCTCTATAAATTGTGAATGAACGGAGTCGCCTGTCAACAGGAGTTTCAAAGATGAGCTGAACACTTCGGTTTTCTGCGTATGACATACAAATCCAGATCCACAAAGGTGATCGATCTAAGGTGCGAAACGGCGCAAACGCGTGTTCGAGCATCTTTCCATCAGAGTCCACACGCCCGCGAACGATGCGCGTACATAGGCTGTTGCCTCCCTATCGAAGTCTTTTTGAATTCTTTCATGCTCTACTCTATTTCTTGCTATCTACAACCAACAGCTCACAAAAATGCAGATTTTCCTTGTTTGTCGTGAAATTCCGGGGGTTTTGCGAAAGTCCGCAACGTTCTGGGAGTTTTGCGACATTCCGGGATTTCCGCGGAATCACGCGAATCATGCAAACTACACAACGTCATACTCCATTCAGAATGAATAAATTCTGAATCCGATTCCGTTTCCAGTTTTCTCAAATTCTTCTGCGGAGGTCTGTTTGCGAGGATGTAACGCAGCGCCTATCTAACATAAAGGATACTGATAAGTAATATTCGATAGTACGGTTCTTGTAAATTATAGCGCACTAAAGTATAGCTGCGGATTTCTTTCCAGAAGAAACTGTCATAACTTTCTTCGGAATGAATGTATTCTGAATCCGAAAAAAGCATCGTGCTCAGCTCGTCAAGGCGAACCTTTCGATATGCAGCATGCCCTTGATATTCCTATTTCAGTATTCGCGAATCTTTCTGCGACGTCACTTTGCAAAGATGTAAAGTAGCGCGCATTGCCCCTAGTAGACTATTGTAAGGGCGATTCGGTAGTACCTCCCTTACAGATTAATGATCGCTAAATAGTCTCCGCAAACTTCTTTCGAAGGGAGATAGAAGGACTGGTGAATTGGGGAAAAATCTTGTCGCAGGAACTTCTACTTGCCACAATCCTGGAATACGAAGCTATCTTGCTAAGCTGATGTGAATTTCGAAATCAGCAGGCCAGATAACCTCTATGAGCAAGTTTCCCGGGATGTTCGGGTTATTTCATTTTTTCTCGTTTTACGCTCTGGAAGCTCGCCGATGGATATTGGTCAAAATGTTGATGCTCTTGAATTGTAACGAAACTTCGCTTATAGAGGTTCTCGAACACGCTGTTTACGAAAATAGTGGTCTTTTTTGTAGAGATATTGTGAGGTGACTGTAACTGAGTCATGAAAGTTCGTAAATTTGCCTGCACTTTTCGCGAATTTGTCAGAAAACTTTCCTGCTTGCCTTTCTAATTCAAAATCATTAGGAACTGTACTATCAAAAGGTGCATGCCCAGGCTCCAGTCTATAAAGTTCTCCGAGGTACGAGCCTACGAAAACACGTCTTCATGAATTTTGCTCAAAGTGCAAAAATCGCGTATTTCGTCGAAATTCCACCCTGAGTGGTTGTATGACATACTGATAAAATCTGTTCACATTGGTTAATGGTCATACTGTGCTGGATTTGGAAGTTAGGTAGATCTGAGCTCAGGCTACAAAGCTGCTTGGATATTCAATTGAGAGTACTCTGCGTTGATACCACTGCTT